TTCGAAATAAATCCATAAAATTTTCAAATGCTCCCTAATTTTCATGGATTGCCTTTAGAGGAACCTCATCAGCACTTAGAAAAATTTCATATGGTATGTGATTTAGTTAATCTCCCTCAAGTTACATTGGAAATTATTAAGATGAATTTATTTCCTCATACACTTAGGGACAAAGCTAGTCATTGGCTATCCACATTAAATAGAAAATTAACTAGCTGGAAAGACATAGAACAAGCTTTTCTTTGAAAATTTTATCCCTTAGGAAAAACTCAAAATATGAGAAAACATATATAGAATTTTTCTCAAAGATCAGGAGAAACTTTACATGAGACATGGGAAACATTCAAAGATTTACTTAGAAAGTGTCATCATCATGCTATACCCAAGTGGCAGCTCAATAGAATTTTTTATGATGGATTATTAGAACAACATAGAAATATGGTTGATTCTATATGTGGAGGGGCTTTTATGGAGAAAACCCTTGATGAGATTTACAGTCTTTATGAGAATTTAAGTAAAAATTCTAGAGATCAAGCCACTTTTGAATTATATGACAAGGATAAGAAGAGAGGAATTTATGAATTGCATCATGATGATGATTCTAAATTTAGAAATGAGGTTAATCAGATTAATCAAAGATTAGAAAAAATTGATTTACTTATTGAAAATATTAGAAAGCCTCTTAACCCTCAATTTAATTCAAATAGTACATGTCCTATGTATGGTGAAAATGATCACTTCGAATTTCAATATCATCTTAGGCAAGAACAAGTGTAGGTACCTCACAATTTTAGTAAAAATAGGGAATATATTTCAAATTCTTATAATCCTAATTGGGGGAATAATTTTTCGTGGAGAAACCCAAATAATATTCAAAATCCAGAAGCACTTAGATCCAATTCAAATTTTGAATTTCGTCCAAAATAGGAACACAGATTTCAGAAAAATCAGTCCTCTCAAATCCAACCTGATGCTATGGAAATGATGCAGCAAATGAGCCAAATGATGCAACAAACTATGTATCAAATGATTCTGCACCAAAAACAAATTATAGAGGCTTTTGAGAATAGGAGAGAAGAGGGACAGCCACCTAGTCAGCCCATAGAAAATTCAGGAAACTGTTCAACAATAGGATTTCAGCAAGGAGAGTCTAGCTAGATAAATTTAGAAAAAAACCCACGAAATGAAAATGTTAGGACAGTGAATACACTGAGTGAGAATATTTTACCTGATCCTTATTTCCAATTATTAGAAGAAATCGACGATCCATTAGAAGTAAATGAGAATATTAAGGCCGAAAATATAGTAGTAAAAAATTTGAATAAAATCATTTATTGCTCACAATTGATGAATGAATATAGTGAGGATGATGAGGAGAAAGAGCCCTTAGATGAAGAAACAGCAGCTGATCATGGAAGAATCATCCAAATTTTAGTAGAAGGGAGTAAGGACAGAAATGAAGAAAAACATATTTCAGGTGAGGAAAAATCAGTTGATTTGGGAGATGTAGGAGACGAAATTAATAAATCTAATCATAATTTTGCAGCCATAGATGTTGATAGTGAGGATGATGATGTATATCATATACCGAAATTAAAAGATAGCTCTTGAGAAGATGAAGAATTTGATGAGTTGTGAAACGAAAAGCTAGAAAAAGAGTTGATTCAACTAATGGGGAGAAACGAAAGTAATGGATATGAATATAGAGATAATTTTGGAGGAGAAAATTTAAATTTTACTGAATTCATTAGATTTGAGATTAAAGAAGACAATCCTTCCATCCTTCATAACCCACAGCCCCTTAGAATTATTTCTAAGCTTGAAATATTTCACTCCTCGCAAATTGAACAAATATATATGGAAGATAAAATGGAGCCGGGAAAGATTATGCAGATAAAAGAACACATTAAGAAATGGGTGAGTGGAAGAATTAGAGATATCAATTTAGATAAAAAAATTCTAGATTCGGTAAGAGCTAATTTGAAAATTATATGGCATGATCACATTTTATGGTCTATTAATAGAAAGTATTTCTTAATGAACGAGAGCCTTACAAAACAAGATAGAAATGAGGAAAGATTCTTTTCAAAATGGAAATATTATTTTTGGGAAAAAAAAATTAATTTCTATTTTGTTTTGGCAGAAAGTATGTCAAGGTATATATATGAAGTATATGAATTTATGCTAAATCTGAAAAAGAATATCATGAAACTTACCTTGGGATACAAATATATTTTGATGGCCATAGATCATCTTATATGATCTAAGAGCTGTCCAGCTAAAGACATTAAATTCAGCATTGCATAGGAGGCAACCCATGGTTTTTATTTCATTCTGTTTGATTTTTTTTTAAGCTTTGTTTTTCTTAGAATTTCGCAGTACGTGTTTCTGTATTTGTTTTTTCGAAAAAGTGCAGGAGGAGGAGTGTAAGATGAAGTGGAAAATTAAAAACGAGGTTGAGGTGATGTCTTTCTGAGCTTTATCATTTATGAAAATATTTTTAATGCTTAACTTTGCACATATGCATGTTTCACTTGAAAATTATATTTTCAGTATATTCTGTTTCGATTTTTCTGTGTCATTGAGGACAATGTCATTTTTAAGTTGGGGGGTCAAGTATTAATTATTAATTTATGTTGTAGAACGATTAAGAACATGTGTTTGCATTTTATTCAATTTTAAGGTAAATGGACAGTGGCTTAAACATTACATAGAACATGAACGCCTTGCAGAAAAAAAAAAAATTATTAAAAGAAATTCAAGAAATTCATAGAACATGAACGCCTTACTGAATTCAAGAGTAAATTCAGTACTACATGGGAGGCAACCTATGGTCTTTATTTCATTCTTTTTTTTTAAGCTCTATTTTTCTTAAAATTTTGTAGTACTTATTTCTATATTTATTTTTTTCAAAAAAGTGCAAGAGGAGGAGTGTAAGATGAAGTGAAAAATTAAAAATGAGGTTCAAGTGATGTCTTTCTGAGCTTTATCATTTATGACAACATTTTTAATACTTAACTTTGCATATATGCATGCTTCACTTGAAAATTATATTTCCTGCATATTCTATTTCGATTTTTTTGTGTCATTGAGGACAATGTCATTTTTAAGTTGGGGGGTGAAGTATTAATTATTAATTTATGTTGTAAGATGATTAAGAACATGTGTTTGCATTTTTATTTTTATTTTCATGCTCACTTAGAACAGCAACTAAAAAAATAAAAATAAAATAAAATTCAAAAAAACTACAACATCTATTTTCTGGTTTTCTGTCATGAACAACAAATTGTCAAAAACAATAGACAAAAAACAGCCCCAAATTTGAAATTCTAGAGATCTTTTTCTCACATTTCAATCCCCTAGACATATATTATTGAAATTCGAAATTACAGCTATAAAGAGGATAGTTTTGATTTATTTTTGACAAATTTATTGTTGCTAAAAATAGAACTAAAAATAGAAAACAAAACTGTCAAAACTATCTAATTTACAAATTTCTTACATCATATTGCATGTATAAAAAATGAAAACAATTAGATTGATTGATACCAAAAGATACTAGGAAGATTATTATTGAGTCAAAAGAATGATCTAGTAGCATGAAATGTTGAAATACTCCTTGGATACATGATAGATAATATGAATTTGATTTTACAGATTTTCACTTCATGATCTTGATAGATAGTATTTACTTGATGTGAAAATTTAATTGATCATTTGAGTTTAATGGAGAATTTTGCATCCTGATTTATAGGACTTGTGAAGAGAAATCACTTATTTCAACAAAAAAAAAAGAAAGAGCAATCTGAAAAATCTAGAAACGAAGAGTACACATGGAGGGTGTGAGACATCATTCTCATTGTCAAAAATCGTGCATAGAAAAACACTTGCTGCAAAATAATTGGATAAAGTGAAAGCCCTAAAAATGAAGAGTACACAGAGGGTGTGAGACATCATTCTTATTGTCGAAATTTATCTACAGACAAAAGCTACTTATCCACTATATATATATATAAAAAAGAAGGAACAAATATAGTACAAAGTTCAAAAATCAAGCCATGGAAAGAGGGAAATGTGGGATCAATATTATTCTTGAATGAGTATTGATAATTGAAACATCTTGTAAATATATCTATGAGTGAAGAAGTGATAAAGATGTGAATGAAGAAGTGAAGTCTGGACTGTTATTCTAAGGAGTGCTTAAACATTTAAGTGTTTGACATCATTCTTAAATACTTAATATAAGAATTCAAAGTGTTTAAAGGTGCATCATTTCTAATTGTATTTTTTTTAATACATTGAAATATGATGTTTGAGATTTCTAAATTTTTATTTTCGTAATTCCATTGCTAAGGGACTAGCAATTATTTAAGTTGGGGGGTGTGATAAGTCTTCATTATCATGAGTTAATAATTAGTAAATAATATAGTTTTAGTCTTAACTCATGATAAATAGACTTATATTTGTGTTAAAGTGTGAAAGTGGTTTTTCAGTTGATTAACATGAATTTTTGGCTAATTATGTGATTTTATACAAATTTATATGATTTTTATAGTCTTACTTTTGAGATAAATGAAGGAAAAGAAATAAAAATAAAAATATAGCAAAATGGGGGGTACCCACCAGCCAGCCGGGCCCGCAAGTGGGTTGGAAGCGCAGTCGGGGAAGAGCCGCGAGCAGGGGCTCGAGCGGCTTGGACCGATAGGGGCATGTGTGCGCCACTCCCCTTCCACGTCACCAGTGGCCAACCGACTGTGGGGCAAAGACTAGTCGTACACGTGGGAGAAAGGGACTTGACTGCAAATGTAATAGTACTATATATTCGCCCGAAACTTCGGTGCACAAGCGATGTGAGACTAAACCCACGTCACACCTTCCCCAGAAAGGGCGGCCAACCGGCGTGGGTTCGAACCCTCCCAGAGCCAAAACTCATATTTTTTTTATCTAATTATCACGACTTTCTTATAGATCGTCGGTGAAGGATTAAGCCGCCAGAATAGCTAGATCATCGACGAAAATCTTGTCAACACGATTCGTTGAGCATTGTTACTAAAATTGCTAAACAATTTGCGATGAAAGGATCGTGAATCTATCAAGTAAAGCATCTCTGATTGATCGACAAACAAGCTGTCGTCGGGAAGAGGACGATCTACCGGGAGACGAGTTGCCACCTCCTGAGAGCGTATCGGATGCAATGATGAGCCTCCTCTTATTGTGCGGACCTAAGGATGAAGCTCCCTAACACACGCCCCACCTCCATCTAGCTCCTCTCCGTTGGGTGACAGCCGTCAGAGAGCCACAAAGTTGCCGTTTTTCTGCTCCACCGGGTGACAGCCACTAGAGACGATTCAACGACCCATTTCATTGATCTCTAGACTTAGCAAGGAGATCTAGAGATTACCCACGTCGTCCTTATCGAAAGAGAGCCTTCGAGGCCGTGGACACTACACGATGATCCTCCCGAATGCTCAAGATTCCGATGCATCACCACTGTGACGTCGGAACTCTATTTTCCTGCTTTCAACTTAATTTCTACTTCATTTAGTGATAATTTGTGTGATTTAAATTAAGATATACTTTATTCCATTACGATTCTTCTGACTTTTACAAATCTTAATTTGATCAATTAAATCATCTATAATCGCTTATGTAAGAATTACTGGGTGGAATTGTGTTTCTGCCCGATTCGCATTCATCGGGCATTGACGTCATCTTGACGTCCGCACCCTTATTTTCCTTTTTTATAAATTTTAAATATATTTTATTTTTATTTCCTAGTATAAAATTTATAGAAAATAGTATTCTTTGAGGAAAATTCTAAATAATTACCTGATATTATATTACATCCCTATCATTAACTTGGAAAATTACTGTTATTTTTGGAAGTTTTATTGAATTATAATTGATATATGTTTTTTAGAAATACTTCTAAATATCTGAAAATTCGTATTTTCTAGTTTTATAAATTTTAAATTTGCGTGATTTACTATACAATGACTAAGTCGCGTCAGTTACCAAACAATTTTTCTTTTGCTATAAATGTGGTCGAAGATGTGCATTCCTCTCATTTAAAGGGTGCCCATTGGTGATGTTCTGAAAAGGAAAGGAGTGCACATCTTAGCCTATAAGAGAATGTTCTAATCACCAACAAGGACCATAAATGGAAAGAAATCTTCTATGCTAGTAATAAACTAGGAGAGGGTAGCTGTTTCTGGAAAGATATCGAGATGTGAGGGTAGAGGATTTGATCTCATTAATTTCAAAGGGTGCCAGCTACAAGGAACGGCCTATAAATAATGCCCTACATTTCAACTCTTTTCATCACAAGCCACCCGTGAACCCTTCTACATCCACCTTGCAATGGACTAGGAGAGTGATGTAGATCATTTCACCATCGTAAGTCTCATCATCAATAGGTATACCTTGTTGCCTTCTGTCTATCCCAGCAATAGGACTAGATGGGGCAACCCTTGAAAAGGAGAAGTCCGCCAGTCCTGGTGCTGTAGATGTCTCTGCCAGTGGAGTTGACGAGGCCCAGTGACGGGGTGCCGTAGATAGTGGAGAACTCGTGCACCTTCTTGAAGGTGCCCTTTCGCCTCTTGATGTGTAGAACAAGTCTGCTGTGCCGATCATGCCGCTATACTTTTGTAGAGTCTGCTCCATCAAGAGCCGAAAGGGTCTCCTCAAGAATGTGTGCAAGCTCCCTGCTCTTTACGGCACCCACTGGCTAGACCTCGCCAACTTTACTAGGCTGAGCTCTACACTAGTGAGATGTTCAATGGTGCTCATCTTGTCCATGGCTACCCCTTTATAATAGTGATTGTATATGGATATACATGGATGTTCAATAAATTTCTCCATTTGAAGTCTAAGTCAGTCGAATCTTTTCCTCTCCTCTCTCTCTCTCTCTCTCTCTCTCCTCTCTCTAGTTCTTTCCCTCAAGTTCTCTCTATCTCTTTCTCTTAGTCCATTCTTCTAATTCTCTCTCCTTTCTCCTTCACTCACTCCCTCTAATTGTCTCTTTGTTCTAGTAGAGATCTTGAAACAGATTTTGGGAGTCATGTCATGGGAGTCCAATAAGCATGCCTACTTTTCTCTCTCGTGCTGGCCTTGAGCATTGTTCAGTCAAAATCCATCAAACCTTTCTTGAATGTAGAAATGCACCGAGACATCAACATAGTAGGACCATGCACTTGTGTCTCAACCTCTCTCCCTCACTCGCAGCCTAGTCCTTTTAAAAGACACCCTAATACAGTAATAACTTAACCACAATGGCTATTTAAGGCCTGGTGCTCACCATTCTAGTAATTTGGGAAATTGTCACTCTAATTGTCAACTATTATCACCTTGGTTATTATCAAAATGATAATATTTTAAATATTCATTAACCAAATTCAAAACAAGAATTAAAACGAAATTTTGGTTAATTCAGGTCATGCATAAGGCTATTGGTCAATCTCAAATTAACTTTTTCATTCTAAGTAATTTCTTGAGATAAAAGTAAGTAATAAAAAGAAAAATAATTTTCTATGGGTTTTGAGCTCCATCAATTCTTGAGGATGTTGTCATGAAGTTTTAAGATTTGAATCTCCTAAAACTGATTTATGACTATATTCCTGAAATATTTTTCAGTAAAAATGACAAATGAAATCACAAAAATAAAAGGAATAATTAAGGGTAAAAAACAAAGCTTAAATTAGAAAAGCTAGGGAGGAGAGAGAAAATAAAATAGTTAGTAACCTCTCCCCATCAACCATCCACATCACTAGGTTAGGCACTGATGAGCACAAAGAGTTATCCACGTGACTAAGAGCCCTCACAATCAAAGCACAACAACACAATTATTACGAGACATAAAAAAGGAAAGAGAGGGATGGGTTTCTCTCACTCTTAGTATTTCTTTTTATGATTTTAATTGTCCTTGTGAAATTTAACTTTGTTATGATCATCGTAATCTCTCAAATTGAATGGACTTGAATGATCATAATGTTGTTAACTTTCATAAAAAAATCAAATCATAGGAAGAACAACAAGAAAAGAATAAAATCAAAGCATGAGCTTATCCTTGTTAGTCACCTAAGAAAGAATATCGCCATGGACAGAAATTAAACTAGAAGTTGATTAGAAAAATGATAAAATTATGGATGAAAGTACTTAATCAAAAATGAAAACAAAATGAAATAAAATTGAAATCAAATTTGCAAAAACTTGCATCACTATACTCGTGCGTCACCTAAAAATGGAGTACCAGAAAATGAATGTGAAATTGATTGAAAATGGTAAAAAATAAATTTAAAGACTTAATCTCATCATATACCTTTCAACCAGAAACTGGATTAAGTAAAACCAAAAATAAAATACAGTAAAAATAGAAATCGAATTCAAAAGTGTCTATGTTTTCTTTGTCTGTCACTTAGAGAGAACTCAGCCCAAAAAAGCTGAAAATTCCTTGACTCAGCTGTTTTCCTCTATCTCAACACCTCCCTCTAATTTCTTTGGAGCTTCCTTTCGATCATCATCTAAACTATCTCAACAATCACCACAAAATTCGGAATTACCGCCTTCGTTTCATTTCCTAGAATAAAGTATGGATGATGATGTACATAGATGATGTGGCAAAAAATGTTGACCTCTTAGTTTGTTAACTTATGCTGACATGGTGCATAAACTCTTGACGAGTCCTCTTACTACTTTGGCCATCAATCATTGTATTTTATTGGTTGCTATTTTTGATAATTTCTAATTTACTAAAAATTATATTAATAAAACTCCTAAAAAAATAAGAAAAAAATATTTTATAAGTTTTAACGTCATATCTAATTTTCTATCAATTGTAACATAATTCTCAAGTTAGAATCCTTAGAAAATCATATTAGTATAATTAAAAATTATACTAAAGTATTATCACCAATGATAACATTTGACTTTTGCATGTTAGGTATGGCATAATTTAGACAAGTAGCACTTAATTTCATGAAAAATGACATTTAATTTTACATAAAATAAGTGTAGCATAATTTATGATCAATCTTCTAAATACATGCCTAATTTTGTGATTTTTTTATATTTTTATAGTATACTTTATTTATCTGTATCCTTTGCTTGAATATTAATTATTAAATAAATGATATTTGATCTCTAAATTATCATTAAAAAAAATTAATGAAGTACTATGTTCAATGTATCTTTCGTGATTTTTGGGATTTTATGGATTTTTCTAAATTTTCTCATATTTATTTCAAGTTTAAATAAATACTTTAAAGGCTTTAAAGGTTTTCCTATTTTTTGAAATATTCTACATCCTAGGCAATGGCTGAATTTCAACCGTTGCATCCACTTTCTCTCTCACTCTCATAACTCTCTCTCTCTTTCACAACCAACCCATTAACCACTTAATTCTCTCTCTCTCTCTCTCCCACCTCTTGGTCTTCCAAGGGGTGGGTGAGAGATCATATGGTTGTGCATGCTTGAAGAGGATCTAAAGATTGAGATCGAAGCTTAGAGGTGTATAAAATCTTAGAGGAAGATAGAGAAAGTATATTCATTACTTGGGAGAGGAGCCACTTAAAGAAGAAGAGGAATGAATCCAAGAACGTCACCAAATTAAAAACGTTCAAGAACTCTTAAGGATAAATCCTCTTGAAGTACTCCCAAGGGTCAACAAAGAAGGCATCGTAGTCTAGTTTTTTTATGCTCTATTTCAATGAAATAATGTTTCCTTTCATGTATCCCCTCATCTAGTGATCTTCTTAGTGAGAGAGAGTTTGATCTTCTTAGAGGGTATACAGGAGGGAATTAGGGATCGCCTAGAGTGACACTAGAATTGAGCCTTAGGTCTGATTCATCCTCTCTCTCATTCTCTCAAGTCTTGTGGATCTATTGACTTGTCAAGATTGATTCCACTTGAGATTGAGTAAGAGAAGAATTGAATGTAGAGTAGAGTAGAGTAGATTCCAACTTCATCCCTTTCTCCTTTTGATTTAGTGCTCTCTTGATCTATCAAGATTGAATATGGTTTTAAGGTAAAGAGGAATTGAGAGAGGATTAGAATAATAGATAGGAGTAGATTAGGGTTATCTTTGACCGATCTATCGATCTCCTAGATGGCAAAGGGTGACCTAGAGTGGTTAGAAAGTTTTCTTTCACATTAGGGTTTAGATAATCCATCACTCTCAACCATCCATTGATTGTGTCATCTCCCTAATTACTCCTCTATTGTTGATTGAAAATTCATCAATTTACATTTCTTTTTTTCCCTCTGTGTGTCTAAGTCAACCCTCTTCTATCTTCTCATCTTACTCTTCATTGAAAAATTGATTTTAGTCAACTCACAATCCTCCTTAGTTTAGTCAACTCTCTGTGGTTCAACCCAAGTATTTCAATAGCTACACTTTTTTAGCATCGTTAGGAATCATTCTAGAAATTATAAATAGTATTTTTGACGTTCCTTATTATCAAAAATTCAGAGCAATCAGCCAACCACAAAGAGAAACACCAAGTTGTCTCACCCCTTGGCAGTGTGTTGTACATGAGGTGAGTGTTCTCATTGCCTTTTATAATCAGCTTGATAGGACCTCAACATTAATTAATAAAAAAAATTATTAAACATCGAAGCAATCTTCAAAACATGCTGAGGCAGTAGACCAACTTGCCTCATACCACAAGCTCAAAAGACCAATCACATCAAGGCACCAGAAATCCAAGCTGCTTTATCTGACTCATATTTTATCAAAACCTATATTGTGATGTATTGTCTTTATTAAACTTCATTTGATGCTAATGGAAAAACATAACTTTCTACATTATGCATGCTGTGGACACCAACACCTTGCACACAATGCACTTAAACAAACACTTATGCGTCACCACAGATTATTTTTCCAGCTCTTGTGAGATTAGTAGCTGCTGTCCCATTGGTAATGCAAACAAGCACTAACCTAATTATAAACTCTAGCGAAGGTTATTTGAAATTGGCCAGCATCAAGAAAATTTGCATACTTCTCTTCATTAACCAAAACAAAATCTATTAAGTATTCTCTAACATAAAATTTATGTGCACCATTTGCTCAACCATCCACAAAATGAAAACTATGTAAGAACTTCATTTCCATGCCCAAATGTGTAGAAAGAGCTGTTCATAAATCGCAGATAAACATTACAACATGTGTTACATGCATACACATCATGCACTTAGCCAACCTATACAAACTATGTTTTGGGGCCATATGTGTCCACATTGCTTTTTTTGTTAGGTTTCATAAGATATGTGTTTGCTACCTCATTATTACCTCAAATAGGGATTCACCAAATTCCAAAGTCTGATCAAGGTTTATATAAGAGCTACATTACATCTACCAAACAATTCTATATTTCTTCAATAACCAAAATCTATTATCTCAAGTATCTATTCTAGCATGGTATCTATAGATGGAAGCTTACAGTAAAAACTTTAAATAGATTTCTAATTGTTGAAGAATAAAAACCTGAAAATGACAAGTAAAGCATATATCCTCATTGAGGATGATGTCCAGCAGTGGTCTCCATGGCAATATAAAAGTCACAATGAGGAGGCATGTTAGTTCTTCTATCATGTTGTCAATTTGTGTTTGCACAATAGAACATATTTTGAAAACAAATTGTTGATGACAAAAAGTTAAAGAAAGAGTTGTTCATCTTGCTGACCCATTACAACATTGAAACAAAACTAGTACTTCATCTCCTAGGACTAGATATTATGATTATTCGGCCATCTATGTGGCTCATTATGGACAAACACTATTGGGACACAAAATTACAACTCATCTTTTCATGGCAGATGATTTTCCTCCTGAATAAGGCATGAGCTCTAGACGTTTAAAGGCTGCTCCTCATTAGTGACCTTCTAGATGGGAGAGGAGAAAGGAAGATAACTTTACAAGATGTCAATAGAGAGGACTATAAATAGAAAGAAATCTTTAGCCCCATAGATAAAGCAAGATAGGACAACTATTTACTAAAAGATATTGTGATGTGCAGGAAGAAGATTTGATCTCATTAATTTGGGAGTGCACAACATGCAAGAAACTCCCTATAAATAATGGCACATTGTGTGTCCATATAGTTTACTTTATTAGCTTTATTAAAATGAGTGGTTTTTACCTCATTGCTAGCTCAAATTGAGATTCATCAATTGCTAAACTCTCATCTAAGTTATATAACAACTAGGTAACATCTCTCAAGAAATTCTCTCTCTTTGGAGATCAAAATAGAATATTTGAGTTATACCTTCTTTGTATGTTGTGTATATTAATAAGTCTTCATTATCATGAGATAATAATTAATTAATAATATATTTTAAGCCTTAGCTCGTGATGAATAGACTCATATTTGTGTTAAATTATGAAAAATAATTTTTAGTTAGTTAATGTTAATTTTTGACGAATCATGTGATTTTATATGAATTTATATAATTTTTATAATTATTTTTTTAGATAAATGAAGAGAAATAAAATAAAAATATAAAAATGGGGGGACCTACTAACTCGTTGGGCCCACAAGCAAGTTGGAAGCACAGTCAAGTAGAGCTGCAAGTAGGGGGCTCGAATGACTATAGATTGATAGGAGACACGTGTGTATCACTCCCCTTCCATGTCATTGGTGGCCAACTAAGCGTGGGGCAGAGTGGTCATACACACATGAGAGAAAGGAGAGAGAGTTATTTCAGCCAGCCATTCCGCATGCGGAACAACCACCAGCGGCGGAGAAATTGCCCATCGAGGGTCTAGCCCGGTGGGTTACTGATCGCGAAAACAAAAGGCTTAGTCTTCAGTAAGCCTGAAAGGACTCGGACAGTTAGACTATTGATTAAAGAATCTTGTATTATTATATATTTGTCTCAAAACTCAGAAAATGATGTGAGACAACTCAACACAACTTTCTTAAAGGTTTTTAATTATTTGAATTTCTACGATAGCCCTAATTTGTGCAAAGAAGATACCCTTTTGATGTCACCTTATAAAGGTATTCACTTAATTATTTCACTCTCTCTCAAAACTCATATTTGTATTTGATTAAATCATTATTTTCTTAAAGAGCCGCTAGAGATTTGTAAGCCACTAGAATTGTTCAATCATCAATGAAAATGTCATCAACGTGATTCACAGAGCATCATTACTTAATTATGAAATGATTTTGGATAAAAAGATCACAAATCTATCGAGTAAATTATCTTTGATTGATTGACAAACAAGTCGTCGTCGAGAAGAGGACGATCTACTAGAAAATGAGTCGCCACTTTCTGAGAAAATATTAGATGTGATGAAGAACCTCCTCTTGCTATGCGGACTTGAGGATGAAGTTCTCTAAGATGTGCCCCACCTCCATTCAACTTATCTCCATCAGGTGATAGCCATCAGAGATTTGTAAAATCATCATTTTTTCACTCTATTGGGTGACAACTATCAAAGGTAATTTTTTGACTCACCTCATTGATTTCTAGACTTCACAAGAAGATCTAGATATTGCCAACATCATCTTTGTCCAAAGAGAGCCTTCGAGGCTGTAGACATTATATGAGAATCATTATTTTTAAAACCTTTTATCAAATTACAATTGACTTATTTATTTTAAAATATTTAAAAATCTAAAAATTAGTATTTTCTAGTTTTATAAATTTTAAATTTATGTGATTCATTATACAATGATTAAGTCATGTCATTGTTCAAAGATAGAAGCTTTGATAAAAAATTTAATTAGATTCTAATTTATCTCCATAATTGATGATGTCTTGGAGTGGTCCCCAACTACATAAAATTCACCATGTAGACGTGGGCAACTTCATCTATTGAGTTGTATGTTCATGTTTCCACAAATAAAATGAATTTCAAAAAGAAAATTTCATGACAAAAGTTTAAACATAAAGTAGACCAGCTTGGTGAACCATTATTACTTCAAACAAAGAATTACGCATTAGTTTGCTACAAAACCTTATCACCTAGGAGTTACCAAATCCAATACTAGATCACCCAAGACTATATTATGATTATTTAGCTCTATATGGGTCACTATGTACCTAAACAATAGCAACTCCAAACGATAGCTTGTATTTTTATGGTAGATGATTTGCCTCATGTTACGAATGCTGAGTAACCCATCCTCTCCTATTGTTTTTGAGGGCGCTCATCATCAATGATGTTCTCCTTGTGAGAGGAGAAGCTTCTCTCACAAGATACTATTTAAGATATTAGTGGGGAGGAAAATGTACATCTCCATCACAGATGATGTCCTAAAGTTGTCTTCACAGCTTCATGAAATTGGCAATGAAGAGACGTGCCACTTCTTGGATGGAGCTGTTCATTAATGTTCGCACAAATACAATATATTCGGAGAAAAAACCTTGGACGAAAAATAATTAAGGAAAAAAAAATCAATTTGGTGACATATTACAAACACCATCACTTTCCTACAAATCTTCTTTAGCCTCAATTTACCAAAACCAATATTAAATCTCCAAAGACTGTTATGATTATTCATCAATATGGCTCATTATGGACAAAAACTATGAGGATGCCAAATGATGGCTCATCTTCTGATGGCAGATGGTTTGCCTCCTGCTATGAATGTGTAAGACATCCACTCCCATTGTTTCAACAGCATTCCTTGCAAGTAATGTTCTTGCTGGGAGAGAAGCCCATAAGAGGCTATTTTAAGATATCATCATGAAGGACCATAAATGGAATGAAATCCTTTGTGCCAATGATAAATTGATAGAGGGCATCTGTTTACAGAAAGATATTGAAATTTTCTGGTAGAAGATTTGATCTCACTAATTTGGGAGGGTGCAAACTGCAACGAATCAGCAATGAACAAAGGTGCATAGACATTCCCATTAGTGTTAGTAAGATATGTGCTTGCTACATCATTTCTATCTTAAACAGGGATTCAGCCACTACCTACAGGTTATATACGAACTAGGTAATGTCTATTATAAAAATTTGATGTCTCTTTGGTAACCAAAATATAATTTATGAATTATTCCTTCTAGTATGTTATATATAGATATAAGCTCTCGATAAAACACAATAGACCCTTGCCTTTCGGGTGTCTGTGGAGCAAAGAGTGCATATCGCCAACACATTGATAACTAAGCAAAGGTATGCTACAGAGTGACGAACTCCCCCACCACATGGACTTTAATTAGACCCCCTATTTTCAGAGAACATTCCAAAAATAATAAAATAAAACACACATCTCAATTCTAGATGATATCCTAATGTTGTCACCACAGCACCATAAAATTGATGATGAAGAGGCATCCCACTTCTTTCTTATATAAAGTTGTACATTCGTGTTTGCACAAAGACAATACATCTGAAAAAGAAATATTTGATGAAAAAATTTCAAACGAGAATCATTCATCTTGGTGAGTGATAAGTCTTCATTATCATGAGTTAATAATTAGTAAATAATATAGTTTTAGCCTTAACTCGTGATAAATAGACTTATATTTGTGTTAAAGTGTGAAAAGTGGTTTTCAGTTGATTAATGTGATTTTTTAGGTAATTATGTGATTTTATACGAATTTATATGATCTTTATAGTCTTACTTTTGAGATAAATGAAGAAAAAGAAATAAAACTAAAATATTGTAAAATGGGGCGGACAACTGGTGCGAGTTCAAATCCTCCCAGAGTCAAAAGTCATATATTTTTATCTGATTATCGCGACTTTCCTGCAGATCGCCGGTGAAGGATTAAGCAACGAGAATCGCTGGATCATCGGCGAAAATCTCGTCAACGCGATTCGCGGAGCATTGCTACTAAAATTTCTAAACGATTCGCGATAAAAGGATCGTGAATCCATCAAGTAAATCATCTCCGAATGATCGACGAACAAGCCATCGTCGGGAAGAGGACGATCCGCCGAGAGACAAGTCGCCACCTCCTGAGAGCGTACCAGATGCGATGAAGAGCCTCCTCTTGTTGCGCGGACCTGAGGATGAAGCTCCCTGACACGCGCCCCACCTCCATCCAGCTCCTCTCCATCGGGTGACAGCCGCCAGAGAGCCGCAAAGTCGTCGTTTTTCCGCTCCGCCGGGTGATAGCTGCCGGAGACGACTCGGCAACCCATTTCATTAATTTCTAGACTTCGCGAGAAGATCTAGAGATTGCCCACGTCGTCTTTGTCCAAGGAGAGCCTTCGAGGCCGTGGACACTACATGACGATCCTCTCGAACGCTCAAGATTCCGGTGCATCCCCGACGCATCGCCGTCGCGACGTCGGAACTCTGTTTTTCTACTTTCAAACTTACTTTACGCTTCATTTAGTGATACTTTTTGTGATTTTAATTTACCAAAATATACTTTATTCTATTACGATTCTTCCGGCTTTTATAGATCTTAATTTGATTAATTAAATCGTCTGTAATCGCTTTCATAAGAATCGTCGGGCGGAAGCAGAGTTCCGCCCGATTCGTGTTCGCCGGGCACTGACATCATCCTGATGTCCACACCCTTATTTCCTTCTTTTTTGTGAATTTTAAATATATTTCCTTTTCATTTCCTAGTATAAAATTCATAGAAAATCGTATTCATTGAGCAAAATTCTGAATAATTACCAGATATTATATTACATCCCTGTGATCGACCTGAAAAATTACCACTATTTTTAGAAGTTTTATTGAATTATAATTGATATATTTATTCACAAAAACTTCTAAATATCCGAAAATTCGTATTTTCTAGTTTTATAAATTTTATATTTGCGTGATTTAATATACAACGACTGAGTCACGTCAGTGAGCCATTAAATATTTAAACAAATAATTATCCATTGTTTTACTTCAAATCTTCATGAGTCTAAAATTCCAAAAGTAAATACTAGATCCCCCAACACTAGATATTCTAATTATTGTGCCATCTATATGGCACACTATGGACAAAAACTATGGGGACACCAAATGACTGCTCATCTTTATATGCAGATGACTTGCCTCCTGCTATGAATGCAAAGTAAGATATGATCTCCTCTCATTTCAAAGGTGCTCTACATCAATGATGTTCTTAATGGGAGAGGAGAAGCTTGGAAGATAATGATATCACTAGTAAGGACCATAAATGGAAATAAATCTTTTGTGCTATTAATAAACCAAGATACAGTAGTTGTCTATGGAAAGATATCGAGATGTGTAGGTAGAAGATTTGATGACATTCTCCTGTAAGGAACAGCTTATAAATAATGTCGTACATTTCAACTCGTTTCATCACGAGCCACCCTTGAGCCATTGTTCTACATCTGGCCTGCAATGGACTGGGAGAGTGATGCAGATCCTTTCCCCATAGTGAGTCTCATCATCAATGGCACTAATTGGTTGCTTTGTATCTGTTCCAATAGTGGGACTAGGTAAAGCGACATGCAGAAGTAGAAAGTCTGTCACTAAAGTAGACAAAGAGCTGCTAACGGCACTGTAGATGTTTCAAATAGTGGAGTTGATGAGGCCCCACAATGGGGTGTCATAGATAGTGAAGAACTTGCACACCTTCTTAAAGGTGTGATGTGACTTAATCGTTATATAATAAATCACATTAATTTAAAATTTATAAAACTAGAAAATACTAATATTTAGATTTTTTAAGAAGCTTGAAGCCCACTATTGATGCACCTAGAAGGCTATTATTGTTGCAGCTTGAAGCTCACTTTAGTTAGCTAGCCCAATTATGAAATTAGGCTCATATCTCTATTTTTCTTATTTTCTGAATTTCATCTGAAATTCAAAATTTTATTTGAAAATAAAATTTCATCTAAAATTTAAATTTTATCTTCGATTCAAATTTCATCTAGGATTCAAATTTTCATTTGAAATTTAAATTTCATACAAAATTCAAATTTCATCTAAAATTTATTTATTTTTGAAATTCAAATTTCATTTCTCATTTTAGAATTTATTTTTGAAATTTAAATTTTATTCAAATTTTGATTTTAAATTTAGATTTCATTTGAAATTCAAATCTTGGTGCCAAATAAAGACTCTTCAACCTATTTAAAGGCACCCATATAGCCCCATAGACATATTACTTTCTATCAATATAATTTAATGAGTTGCTTCTCTTGAAGTTCTCTTCCTCTAGTGGTGGACTCCAACACCCTTGTGGACTCAAGGAATCATATCCTTGATTATGTGGCTTCAGAATCACCCTCTTGTGGACTCAAGGTACATGTCCTCCTCAACTTGTGGATTCAAAGCAAAAGGACAATCATTGGAGCACATTTTTTGAGCATTCAAGTCGAAAACAAAATGACTTTTGTAATTTCTCATAGTAACTTATCAAATGATATAGGAAACTCAAAAACTATATTAGATTATGATTATTGTAGAGATTTTCAAATAAAAATTAATTTGCCAAGTTTTAATGGACATTTAAAAATATAGGAATTTCTAGATTGGATTTCTAAAGTTAAGAGATTTTTTGAATATATGAAGATTTCTTATGAGAAACAAGTTAAATTAGTTGCCTATAAACTCAAAGGTGGGGCCTCTGTATGGTAGGATCAATTACAATTTACATGTGCAAGATTAGGAAAAGATCGAATTCAAAGTTGCAATCAGATGAAATTATTAAAATCTAGATTTCTTCCTCCTAATCATAAATAGAATTTATATCATCAGTATAAAAGTTGTAAACAAGGAAGTAGATTTGTCACGAAATATGTTGAGGAATTTTATATAGTTTCTTCAAGAGTCCATTTGATTGAATTTGAATCTTATATGATATCTAGATTTAAAAGTAGACTTCAATGGAATATTAAAAAAAGATAATTGACGTGACTTAGTCATTGTATTGTAAATCATGCAAATTTAAAATTTATAAAACTAGAAAATATGAATTTTCAGATATTTAGAAGTATTTCTGAACAAATATATCAATTATAATTCAATACATCTTCTAAAAATAGTGGTAATTTTTTATGTTGATCACAAGAATGTAATATAATATCGGGTAATTATTCAGAATTTTTCTCAAAAAATACTAGTTTCTATGAATTTTATACAAGGAAATAAAAATTAAATATATTTAAAATTCACAAAAAAGAGAAATAAGGGTGCGGACGTCATGATGACATCAGCGCCTGGCAAATGCAAATCGGGCAAAAATAGAGTTCTACTCGGTGATTCTTACATAAGCGATTATAAACGATTTAATTGATTAAATTAAGATCTATAAAAACCAAAAGAATCGTAATTGAATAAAGTATATCTTGGTAAATTTAAATCACACAAATTATCAATAAATAAAGTAAAAATTAAATTAAAAGTAGGAAAATAGAGTTTTGACGTCGCGACGGCGATATGTTGGTGATGCACCGGAATCTTGAGCGTTCGAGAGGATCGTTGTGTAGTGTCCATGGCCTCAAAGGCTCTCTTTGGAGAAGGACGACGTGGACAATCTCTAGATCTCCTTGCGAAGTCTAGAGATCAATGAAATAAGTTGTTAAATCGTCTCCGATGGCTGTCACCCGATAGAGCAGAAAAATAGCGACTTTGCGGCTCTACGGCGGCTGTCACCCGACGGAGAAGAGCTAGATGGAGGTGGGGTGTGTGCCAGGGAGCTTCATCCTCATATCCGTGCAGCAAGAGGAAGCTCTTCATCGCATCCGGTATGCTCTCAGGAGGTGGTGACTCATCTCCCGGCAGATCATCCTCCTCCCGATGATGATTGTTCGTCAATCAGATATACTTTACTCGATGGATTTGCGATCCTTTTATCATGAATCGTTCAACAATTTTAGTAACAATGCTACGCAAATTGTGTTGACGAGATTTTCGCCGATGATCTAGCAATTCTGACGGCTTAATCTTTCACTGACGATCTGCAGGAAAGTCGCGATAATCAGACAAAAAATATGAGTTTTTGTTCTAAGAGGATTCGAACCTGTGCCGATTTCCCGCCTACATGAGAGAGATTGACATAAGTACTCTAATGCCCTTATCAAATTACGTCATCATGGTATATCACTATTATAAATAAGAGGTAATGTAGATATTAAAATCATCGAAGCCTTTTGGGGAAGGTGTGACGCAGATTTAGCCCCACATCGCTTGTGCGCCGAAGTTTCGGGTGAATATATAGTAATATTACATTTGCAAGTAAGTCCCTTTCTCCTGCGTGTACGACCACTCCTTGCCCCACAGCTAGCTAGCCACCGGTGGCCTAGAAGAGGAGTGACGCACACATGCCCCCATCGGTCCTAACTACTCGAGCCCCTACTCACGGCTCCTCCCCGACTGCGCTTCCGACCCGCTTGCGGGCCTTGCTGGTCGGCGAGTACCCCCTATTTTACTATATTTTTATTTTTATTTCTTTTTCTTTGTTTATCTCAAAAGTAAGACTATAAAAATCATATAAAATTGTATAAAATCCCATAATTAGCTGAAATTTACGTTAATCAATTGAAAATCATTTTTCACACTTGAACACAAATATAAATCTATTTATCATGAGTTAAGGCTAAAACTATATTATTTACTAATTATTAACTCATAATAATGAAGACTAATCAGTAACTTTACAATTATTTTTCAAGTTAAATGATGTTGTTATAACATTAGAATGTGTTGAAGCTTTATTGAAAAATAAAAAACTAGAACTCAAAATTTTATTAATATGTCAACTTTTCAGCCAAATAGATCAAGACCAGCACCTATTTCATCTGCTACCAGTAATGGAAAATCGACAACCTCAGCCGCACCAAGACCAAGTGAATTTATTCCTAGTGGGAAAAATTCTTCTCAAAGGAATTCATAAGTACCTAACTCTATTCCAAAATGTTATATAATGAAGAAGATCACAAATTAAATGCTTGTCCAAAATGGGGTGCTTTGAATTTTATAAAGGCCATAGATGAATACGAGATTGAGGATAGAGAAGATCATCAAGAAATTCAAAAGAATGTTATTGAAGGCAAAGAAGAAAACAACTTTGGTCACTCTCTAGTCGTTCAAAGGCTGATGTATGCACGATAAAAGGAAGAACCTCCCCAACGTCATAATATTTTCAAAACAAAATACACTATTGATGGGAAGTTATGTGATGTTATTATTGATTCTAGCAGTAGTGAAAATATTATTTCTT